GTGTGTGTGTGTGTGTGAGTGTGTGTGTGTGAGAGAGAGTCTGTGTGTGTTTAGCTGGCGGCACGCTGCTCGTGAAGCTTGTGTTTGTGCTGGAGATCATCAGACGGCTCATCGTGGCACACACTACATCAGAAAACATAATTAGAGTATGAACTTATTAATTACAGTAAACAGCGCTTTACAGTCACACGCTCATGCCCACCTGTTTTCATTCACATCTGTGGCATTTCCTGGTCAAATAAGAATGAATATGTGTTAAAATGCCTGTATTTACTGCGCTGTGAAATTCTAAATATATCTTTTTATTTGGAAAACAGACACATTATAGCATCTGTGGATGTTCCAATCAGGTCCCATGCAGCCATTTTTTTCACCGATTGGACCCATAAACTGGAAAGAGCATCTTCTGAGCGATAACATTTTACTCAGGTAATAAAAGTAAAGAGTTGTTGTCAGGGAAGTGTGTTTACCGTTGGTGATGTTGAGTTTGTGTGTGGCGTTCCTGTGTCTCTCGTTCTCTGGCAGCGTTCTGTTAACATGACCAACAAACACACATCATACACACACAATTCAGTCAAGCATGAGCCAGAAACATTCATACTCACTTGTCGGTGAAACTGGACTCTGTTTTCGTGGTTTTGGGTTTTTCAGTGGCGCTGTTGAACATCTCATTGCTGATTGGCTGATCCCTGCTGCGCGTGAACATGTGATTGGCGGATAAGAAGGCGGGGTAATGTCCTGGGCGAATCGGTTTGGCTGAGGACAAAAAATAGCATTATAAAATTGAATAATATTATTATTACATTTGAAATATAACATTTAATTATAATATTAAATGTTAATAAATATATAAAATTTTAACATTTAATAATATGATTAGAATTATAATATAACATGTATTTATAATATTATAAATATGTTATGAAATACATCTAATGCATTTCTAATAATGTAAATTAATAAATTATTTATACAATTATAGCATTTTATGATATAATATGATATTACAAATTTATTAGAAAATATATTTAATGTATTTAATGTACCCTAACCCATGTTTAATATGTTTAGTCATTTAATAAATTATTTATACAATTATAAAATGTACTAATATTATAATTATCTTCATAATTTTTTTATTTATAATATATTATTAATATATTTAATGCATTACTTAGTATATTTTATAATGATTTTAGTAATTATTTATTTATAAATTATTTATAAAATTATAATTAGATTTATAATATTATAAATATGTTATGAAATATATTTAATGCATTTCTAATCATGTTTAATATTTTTAGTAAATTAATAAATTATTTATACAATTATAGCATTTAATAATATTATGATATAATATGATATTATACATTTATTAGAAAACATATTTAATGTGTATAATGTATTTAATGTACCCTAACCCATGTTTAATATTTTTAGTCATTTAATAAATGATTTATAAAATTATAAAATGTACTAATATTATAATTATCTTCATAATTTTTTATTTATAATATATTATTAATATATTTAATGCAGTACTTAGTATATTTAATAATGCTTTTAGTAATTATTTATTTATAAATAATTTATATTAGATTTATATATATATTTAATAATCTTTTTAGAAATGTCATAAATTATGAAATTAGCATTTTAATCATATTCAATAATTATAATATTTCAATATATTTAATGTATTACAATTAATAATACAAACATATTTAATAATAATAATGGTTAATATTGGTTAGTAATTTAATAAATAATTTTTATATACATTTTTATTTTTAAATCTTAATATTTAGAATATTGCATCTTATTTCAAGGTATGAGGAAGCATCAATATTTTATAGCAATGTTATACGTATATCATGACATAGTTATGCTGAAATGTAAGAAAAATTTCTAGCGAAATAAAATGAAAGCTACTTCATGTGATGTGGAGTAGAGATGATGCTCGAGCGTCATGGGAGCTGCACTGACCGATGAGCGCAGCGTGAGGCCGTCTGAAAATGTTTCTGCCGCTCATGGCGTCTTTAATGTGCTCGACCTCCTGCTGGTAGCGCCGGTGGTCCTTCATGGCTCCTTCTTTGGCTTCTCTCAGCGCGTCCTCCAGCGCTCGAACCCGCTCCACCGTAGAACCAAGACGCTTCTCCAGCTTCGGAAGCTCGCAGCGCAGATCTGTATTATCACGAACCAGCTGAGCGAGAGATGAATATGTCTTTATATATGTGTGACCCTGGAGCACAAACCCAGTCATAAGGGTCCATTATTCGAAATTGAGATGTAAAGATCATCTGAAAGCTAAGCTTTACATTGATGTATGGTTTGTTAGGATAGAACAATATTTAGCTGAGATGCAACTATTTGAAAATCTGGAATCTGA